AATTAATTGCACTTGTTCATGGCAAAGAGATGATAAAAAAAGACTTAAATTATAACTGCTACAATGTGTTCATTACAGCATTCCAAATATATACAGTATTTACACTATAAATATAACATCAATGAATTTAAATGAATTCAATAATGAAAGTAAAGTACAATTACCATGGAAACCTACGGAATGTTTCCTTCTAGTTGGTGAAACTCTGGAACTCTCACATGACCATCACAAACTTAACTGTACACAAAGAATTATCTCCCTTGAAAGCTCTTTACTTTGCAGAAACTTTCTTCCATCATTCAATGAAAACATTACATATACACAATAAATGTTAAAATAACTATTAGAAGCACATATTAAAACATAATGATGCCATTTCTTTCTTGCACAACAAAAAAATATAAAAACAAAAGCACATATTAAAATGTTTGAACAAATCAGCACTCCACAATGAGGACAGGCCAGTCACAATGAGGACTATTAAACTCAGGCCACTTAGCACCAATCTGCCAAAACTAAGACATTTAGCACAAATCTACATTTTGTGTTCAATTAACTGAGATCTACCATAATTTTGTTACATCCCTTGCTAAACAAAACAAAAAGTCTTATAACAAACAAAGTATTAGCTTGTTTGCCTCATTCAAATAAAAATAGTTTAAAGCTTTTATTCCAGTGTAATTGCTTAATTGATGAATGTTGTTTATCCTGATACAGAATTGACCTCCTACAGAGCCGTTTCCTCTGCTCGCCTATCTCCCTGATCCATTAGGCTGGATCGACTTCCATGTGTGTTTTCATAACGAGCCTGTTCCGTGCATTCGTCTCGTACTCTGGTCAGAAGCCTCTGAAGCTCGCGATTATTTGGAGCTAACTTCAATGCTTCCTTTAGATCCTCCACTGCAGACGAAAACTGTCTGCAAAAGAAAGACAAATATTTCTTTCCTTTCTCCTTTTTATTATGTCTAAGGAGTGTCGTTAAAGATAAACAAATGAGAATGTTGATAGTCTTGGCACTTAGCAAATATATATCAAAGAGTATAAAATTAAACTAATAGATATTCCTACCTGTCATCTCTCTTGGCTCGAGCTCGAGCATAGTAACCCTCAAAACATTTACTTTTGATCTGCAATGCCTGTGTGGCCAGTTCTATGGCTGATTGACAGTCCTGGAAAGTAAAAATTGATACAGAGTGAATAGGTAAGTACTGAATACAATCCTCTGTACACTGCTATGAGTTGTATACAAGTTACAATAAGTGAACTGTCTCTTACATTGAGTTTACGTTTACATCGGGAGAGGTTGAGAAGGAGATTCAGCTTCAGGTCTTTGAAAGTGCGCGAGTCCTCTACTATTCTGTCCTCAGGGAATTTCTTCAGGGCATACTGGTATCTCTGTGCTGCCTCCCTGATACGATTTTTCTGCATTCACAAATAAAAATCAAATTTAACATAAACTTACATGCAGTTTTACATCGTATACGCTAAATACTCAGAAACAATTGAAACTCCATAGCTTTGCTGATAAAAATACTGATAAATTGAAAAAAAAATGTTCAAGTATTTTGTATACAAAATGTTCAACATATATGCATAATTTTGTATTTGCAAGGTAAAATGAGTGAGAGTGATGTCCCCTACTTTATACAATACATTCCCGTCCTCCATCAGTTTATTTAACAGCAGTAAGAGAACATCAGGCTTTCCTGCTGCCACGGCCCACGTCGTCTGACCCAGCTTAGCCCCCTTCTTCAGGAAACACACCACCACTGCTGTGTTCCTCCTGTCAATGGCTCGGTCCAGGGCTCTCATTCCATTCTGGTCAGCATGCTCTATTTGCCCTCCTCTCTCTATCAGGGATTGTACCTTAAATTTAGTTTGCACTTACTTTAATGCAATTCTTCTCTTAGAGTTTCATAAGGAGTACAACAATTCTTCTACAATTTATAACAGTATCTGATTTTACATCTACACTCTATACATACTACTTGAGCATCCCCATGGAATGCTGCTAGTTGAAGAGGAGTTCTCCCCCTTCTGTCCACATGATGGAGGTTAGCTCCCTTGTCTAGGAGGGTCTGTATAATATGATGGTGTCCCTTCAGACAGGCCCAACAGAGGGCAGTCAGTCCCTCCTTATCCACTTGGTGCAAGGAACTCCCTGAAATCAAGGAAGAAAGTTTGAATATGCCTTGAAATTCAGTGAAACAAAATTTCCTTAATATTTATTATTGATATTTAGACACCACAAACTTTTAGTTAAACTCATTCTCATCATGAGGCAGTTCAGGCTTCATAACCAGAATAATAGGTAATTACTCGTACCTCTGGCTAGCAGCATCTCCAGAACACCAATATGACCTTTGTAAGCTGCTATCATCAGAGGTGTTCTACCATGTTTGTCTGTCTGTTCCAAGGAGGATCCCATTCCTAAAAGTAGGTCAGCCACATCCCAGTGACCAGCATCCACGGCACAAAGAAGGGGGGTAAGACTTTTATTGTTAGGTTGATGCAGACTAGCTCCCTGATCTATAAGGAACAATACCACATCTTTGTGGCCATGTCCACAGGCTGCAGTCAAGGCTACAATAACAAAGATAAAAAATTATTTTGTTTTATACCTTGGTATAAAGTTTTACATCTTACCAGTAGAATTTTTCTTCAGTCTCTGAATACTTCCTCAAAGGTTTTTGGTTAAGAATTATGATTTTTAAACTCTTGTGATTATTTGGACATATTTCATACCTGTTTCACCGAGTAAAGTATCACAGTAGTTAATTCCAAACCCATCCGCAGTAGCAGAGTAGTTATGTAACAGGAAGTCAATTATCTGCAAGATACCATTAAGTAAATTCAGTACAAAAACACAACTGTTGTACAATATCAATCAAGGAACACAGTAGATCTATATAAACTTTCTAACAATTGCTGGAGATACTGCACAACAAGACCCTTACATTGGCGTGTCCAGTAGCGGCTGATGCCACCATAGCTTGCTGCATGGCTTCCACTTTAGTTAGTTGACCATCATATTCTGACCAATCACATTGCAGAAGGTAGATAAGGGCATCCAAGTGACCATGCATGGCAGCATGGACGGCCGGACACTGGCCACTCTTATCCACATGAGACAGCTACAAAAATAAAACAAAAAAAAGTTGTAAAATACATCAGCTGTGCATGATTTGAAACACAACTAATCATTGACTGACTACAGTAGCATATTCAGGAAAAAAATATTCAAGTTATTCTCTATCAGCCAGAAAAAACATACATATATTGTATACCTTGTTATTTTAGCGACCAGCAAATTTAGCGATTTAAACCTCAAACTGGGCATATATTATTAATTAGTGTAATTAATCTTTAGTGATTTTTGGGATAGCTCTATTTTCTACGACAATATTCGTTAATAATGCCAAAATTAGACGGTCGCTAAAACTTTCCATTATATGGTACAGTGTATAACATATCTAGCTGTCTCTTTACCCTCGCATTCCTCTGACACAGCATACGCAAGATTTCTGTATGTCCAGCGCTGGCCGCGTAACACAATGCTGACATACCACTGTCCGACACTGCATCGACACTGGCGCTGAATTCCAGGAGGAGGGACACCATGTCCGTGAATCCCTCCTTAGCTGCAACACACAAGATAGGGGAGTTGTTCTGGTATGGGGTCCTTGTGTTGGGGTTAGCTCCAGACAGCAGAATCAGCCTACTAACCTACAGCACATAATAACCTCATGTTTTACAAGTTCAAATACTGCTTATAATTATAACTGTCAATTTACATGTACACTGAAAATATTAATCAGTCTTAATATCAATGACTTGAACTTTTTAGTCTACATTTACAAACACTTAACTATTTTTCTTATTCCCAACTGCATAATAAATTAAAAGTTCTGTTTATTGATTGTTGCCAATAATAAAAGCTAACCTTGACATTTGGAGAGAAGAGATTGCGATGTGAGGCCAGGGCAGCATTAAGACTCTCCGAGCTGAGGGCCATCCAATACGCCTGCATATCACGTGAGGAGTAGCCACGCTGCTTACTGACTGTTTTGTAGATGTGGGCCTTTAAAATGTGGTGCCCCAACTCTATGGTCTTATCTGCATTGAGTGGTGCCATAATCCTAGACAACTTGAAAGATACCAGAGCATGACCATGTCTGAAATGAAAATATACCCATTAATTCATACAATTATTGTATATCATTTATCAACATGAAAGACATGTGAAAATTATAAAGATCTCAATATTCAAGCAACTTTTATGATTTCAAAAATTGAAAATATTTGATATTTTTCTAGTCCCAGAATCCACCTATAATATCTACCTCTAAACCCACAATAAATTTTATTTTTGATACACAATATAAATATAAACATGTACACTACTCTAAATTACAACATTTAAATCTGTTTTTGATTTGTTTTTCATCCATAAATCTGTTACTCTTTTGATAGTTTTTTTTCTCTGTTTGTGAAGCAAGCACAATAGCATTGAGGAGATCTAGTTTGCACAGATTCACACTATGAAGAAATACAACATCCTAACAGCAATGCTGTATATGATTAGGCAAAAAATCACAACGGCGACTCTAACAAATAATGTCTCCATTATACAATGATCATCTTCTTTTTTACATATATTTGTTATTTTGTGCAAAATATATACGGTAGTACATGTTGTGATTTGTTGAACTAATGTTTACATAAATATGTACTGATATATAAAAATATAAATGTAATTTGTGACATGATGATGACTGTGACAAAATGAAACCATTAAGCAAACAGAATCAACAAAGGGAAAAGTGCATTCTGGGTAAAATGCAGACATCTATGAATAAGGCTGGTATCATGCAGTTTAGTGGTCATTATATTCAGCAGATTTTAGCAAATAATAAATCAAAAAGACTGACTACAAAATCAATTCAAATTACTAGTAAAGTTTCAAATTAATCGCGTAGCCAGTTTAGTATCCATGGTAACCACAAATGAAAGGAAGAACCCAAAAACGTAGATATACATGTATATAGCTATGTGTTCACCTTGGGTCAAATTCTGCACCACTGGAGGAACCAAAAACAAAAACAGGACCAATAAGAATACAACAGCATCATATATTAGTATAAACACATGTAGTATTTCATATTACAGCATTAAGATAAATAAGAAAACAGCCATGGGTTGAATGTAAATATAATAACTGAAGCGAACATAAGGTAGGAGTAAGGTGTTTTATGTTTTACCAAATATAACAACAGCTGATGTGTGAGTGGGAGATAAATTCCGTTATTAATGTGATGAAAAAAATATCAACTTGATAAGGACACATGCTCTGTTTCTATTCTGTGTATCAGCAGAAAAAAATTTGAAAGGAAAATATGGATGGGATGAAAAACAAAAGTAAATTAAAATCTCACCGAAGATCACAGAGAAATTTAGGATTATCCACTTCGTCACGGCGAATTAGCCACTCCCTGAAGGCGGGGTGGAAGAACATGTAGGTGGAGTCTTTACGAAGAAATAAAAATCCCTGGAGCATGCTCATTCTCTGAGTGAACTCTTCCCAGGGCAGGAAGTGCTCCGTATAACCCGAGTTTATGGTGTCATAAATCTCCTCCAAGTTCATGGGGTACAGAGTGGACAAACAAACAGCCAAAATTGGAGAAACTTTCTCAAAGGATCTCACACTTTGGAATTTCAAGTTGAAATGTAATAGGAACACCTCTGAGATGTTCATGGGTAAAATCCTATAGTTTGAACTTTTAAGCACTAGGTGTCCTCGCTCTATCAGGTCCAAGGTCATCTTACAGAACAGGAAGGAACCCTTGCTCAGTGTCTGTAGATGATGACAGAACTTGACTTGTGTAGACTGTTCTAATTTACCATTCAAAGAAATATTGTTTACAATACTGGGGCTGGTTTCAATCCTATGGTTCACATAATCTATAAGGTCCTTGCCTATTAGGTCATTGCTTTGGTCACGGTCAATACAAACAGTGGCAAAACAAAGGTCTTTGGTGATATCTACCAAAGAAGAATGCACAGTTAAAACTAACTTCAGCCACGGAGGGAACTGTTCTACATGCCGACATAAAAATGAGGCTATAGTATCACCATAATCAGGCTTATGAAACTCAGCCTCATTCAATGAGTCTATCACAATCAAACAACTGTCTGATGTTATTTTGCCATCTGCTTTTAACAACTCTAAAGGATCAAGGATTCCTTTAATGAAAGCACTGGATGGGTTCTGTACACACTCCTTCAGACTCAGTACATGTTGTAGCTGTGGGTCTTGTAGAAGCAGCTCATGAAAGGAGGAGAGTTGTGGTGCCTGTGTCAAACGTGCCGCCAGACTGTGGACAAACTCCGGGACCAAACATGTGATGTTGTTGTCTGCCTGACAGAAATGGAAAGCTACCACCTGGGATCCCAGACTTCTCAGACAGTCATATGTGAGGTCAGAAGAGGAAGCACTAAGGCCATGGGACAGAGTGGATTTCGGACTGTAATTCGTCAAACCATTGTACACCATTTTATCTCGGTTTATTTTGTGTTCATTTCCTGAAAATACAGAAAATTATCTTTTGATAAAACACATCATCAGCAATAAACTTTAAATATGGTCTCATTGATGGTATAATGATGTAGAACAAATTATAAAATCCAAGCTAATTTTTTCCTTTCTTTTCAATATCTTGCTGAGTACTATATTAACCTTCTACAAGTCCACTCCTGCCATCAGTGAACACACTGCAGTCCACTAACTGTTCTATAATGGCTGTTTTTCCTGCACCTATACCTCCAGTCAGGACCACTCCTCTTACCCTGTCTATGGTGGGCTCACTGTTCAGAGCCTGGAGTAACAACACAAAGAAAGGTCACAGAGAACCCACAGTGTAAATAACACAGCAATTACAACTGTTCTAGTCTTATAGCCTGTTTTTCATTAAAGAGAGTAGAAAGGATATTTATTAAGATTTTTATCAAGTTTTATGTCAAATTTCATACGATTTTCTACGTGTAAAAAAGTTGATACCATTTCTATGTCCTTGAACAGCCATTCCCTCCCTACAAATAAGGCTTTCCCCTCATTATGGGGCACCTCAAAAGGTAAGGCTTTGAGTCTAATTTGTGGTGGTTTGATTGGTGTAATGTTGATACGACGTTCACTTGAGTGACCTATTGTAGCACGAGCAGAGGACCTGCGAAAATTTCCTCTCTTGCCAAACAAATCCTCTATTTGTCCTGGTGTTGAGGCTGCAAAGTGAATTAATGATAAGCAATGGACTATGGAGTCTATATGAAATATATTTCCTTTTTCTTTTACCTATATCACTTACTTTTCAATAACTACAAAATCAAAACTATTTCAATCATAAATGCTTTGATCACACCAGTAAGATCTGTCATTGTTTAGCTTTAGAATCTTTCTTAGGACTTCCTTACTTGTGATGGAGTGAGGCCGCTGTGTTGTGGTGTGGGGACTCATACTGTTCCCAGTACTAGTAGACATGAATGAGTGCATACTTTCTGCACTGGGGTCCCTGCTTGTAAAGAGGGACTCAGTACCCATCCTAATTCCAGCATAGTGGCCCCTCTCACTACCAGAGGAAGCTGAATTTTATAACACATTTATTAGTATTAGTAATTGTACCCATTGATAAATATAGTAATGTATAATAATCTGTACAAACTGTGAATCCATTACTAGTATCAAGTACCACGGTGTAAGATTATCAAAAGCAGTGACATATTTGGCAATAACACATTGTGACAATGTTATAAGTTACTAGTTCATGATTACCAGTGAGAGTTGACAGAGGGCTGGTGTCAGAGATCCCCCGGTCTGGGGTGGAGATTCCTCTCTCAGGGGTTGCCTCATTACTGCCTAAAGATGACACGCTGGTAAATGTTTCCTCTGTCACCTGATGTCCTTGGTTACCTTTACGAGTCAACATAGGTGACATCTGACCTGGTTCATGGGAAGTTCGACCTTTGTCTGAGAGTAACAAACCCAGTCTGACCATAAGGTCATTCTGTGCAACATCTGGAGAGGGAGGAGGGGGATCTGTAGAAAATTAACATACTCTTGATTAAAGCAGCTCATAAATTCAGTTTCCCTACCGAGAAATGTTATTTCTTTATCTGACTTCAAATTTAAACAGTATGAGTTTATCTGCAATTATTTTACATATGAATAGTTTTCACTGAACCATATGAACATGTATTGGAGAAAAAAAAAAATCTAAAAAGCTCCTACCTAGATGATCATTTAAATCCAGAGCAGGTCCCTCCCTATCTAACCTTGACAACTCATCAAGGTCATCATAAGGTGTCAGACTAGGGTCTGCACTGGGATCTGATGGAGCAATGGCTGCTGAATCTGACATGTAACTCTTCTGTGATGAAGGTACAGATGGTGGTGGGTTGGGGCCAGTTGGAGACAGTGATATAGGTTTGAAGAATCTAGGTTTGGATGCAGGAACTTGTGGCTCAGGTATCTGCTTTCCACCTACAATTAATTTTTTTTATCAGGTATAGCTGAGATTAATTAGTTGTACCATAAATTTTGAGCTGGAAGTTGCTTACATTTATTTTGACTTGATTCCAAGTAATCTAACTTTATCAAGAGCCCACTAGTGTATGTTTCAAATGTGCAATTCACCATTTAAAAAAAAAAAGTAGTAAAAAACCTGGCAATTAAAACATTATCATGAACAAGCATGTAATCGCAGCAAAAATGGTAGACTTTACAGATAGTTAAGCTTTGGAAAAGTTCCTGTCTAATACACATCTGGTATGAATGAGATTCTCAGTGATGAACAATTACAAAACCTACATGTCAATTCAAGCTCCAACTGCGCAAATTGAACCTACATTTTGTAGCAATTACTGTATTTTTACATTAAAAACAAAGTCTAACAAAATTTTCCAGTTTCTTCGCTTCCTATCCCATTGAAAACAAGCCATGCTTTAGTTTACTATTATACCAAAGCTATATGAATGAAAAATAGAGGATCCATTAATAAAAAAGAAGCCCAAAACTTGCTCATATTATATGCCTGATTACCTTTCTCATTAGATACAGATGAAGACACCTTTGATCCCTCAGTTTCATTTTCTACACAATCCATCATGTGATTAGTTTTCTCCATTGAACAGTTTTTATCATCCAAGAGTCACTAATCTAAAGCATTAGAGTCACTGACTCCTCAAGGGTAGCAAAACACAGGCAGATTCTTAACAATACTTACACATCGTTTTTTTGTGAAAAATTAACACAGGAGGCTTATCAATACACTGATGAAAAATCCACACATTTAATTAATGTTTCTACCAAGTACATGCTTGTAAAGTCTGCATGCATCTCTTGCATTTGAATCTCCTATAACAAGTACATGTATTGCTTATAGAGCATTCCCAGAACAATCCATTGTTTGGAAAAATACAAATTTCATAAGAAAATGCTTGTCTCCAGAGAAAAGACAAACTTGAAGAAATCAATGCATTTTACGTAGTGTCTGAATGTCACACTGGGTTTGTCTTTGGAGCACAGTCTGAGAACATTTGGCAATGATGTGCATTACAAGTGACAAAGGCCATCAATTCCAAAGACTACATATAGCCTCCAGCAAATTATCCACAAGCCCTCCAATTTCATTTAATTTTAGACCTCTCCACTAAATCTTGTAGCCACTTTTTTGAAGTATTGATTTTTTTTTCTTTGAATAAAAAAAAATTTTTTTTTCGTGTTTAGTTTGTAATCAATAACCATCTTGGCAAGCATGTGTCATGCAATTACAAAGAAGGTCTTATCAAAAACAGATGCTTTGTCATGTTTTCTCATTTCTATGGAAATGACTGCTTTTACTGTCTCTCCATACAAACTCATCTATATTACTGTCATCTAGGATCCAGGTCTGGGGGGCAAACCTAGCATTAACTGCCTAGTGGGGGGCAACCTTCACTATCAGTAACCTGATCGATCCCTTATCTCAGTCCGAAGGTCACAGTGAGTCGACAGAACCACACTCATTAATATACATTTATTTTGGTGTCTGTTAAAATTATTTCATCAAAATATGTATTCAAAATGACAAAAATAGAAGATGAAAAAAATATTTAAAAAAATTGGTTTGATTCATGTAATACAAGGGATATATATATATACTAATGAGTAAGCAACTCATAAGTAACTAAAAGTTTGTTTACTTGCCCAAAATGTTACACACAACCTTGCATGTTTTTTTCAAACTACATTTAATCTCAGTGTAATTTTTGATTTTAGATAAATGTAATCTTTTCTTTTTGTTGATAGGGATGGATATATAATAAATTTTGAAACATACATCGTAAGAAAAAAATTAAAATAAGTAAACAACCACTAAAATTTGGTGAAATCTCGGAAATATGGCCGATCTAGGCTTATTGTGTTGATTTTGAAATTAAAATGTAATTATACTAAGATAAGGAGAATAAAGCAGTACAAATGACATATTTTTAATAATATTTGATCGATAATTAAAGGTTTTGTTCTGATATAATATTTGATAACATTACAGATATATTTAATTAAATTGACTGTATGACATATGAAATCCCGTAACTTGCTAGATATCATAAGGGTTGCCTATTCCGTTGGTATAAAGGTGCCTGGTAATACTCAAGTTCTCGAAGTCTTAAAATTGTGATCTAGTGATGTTGGTTTTTTTCTGACAAAATTGTGATCCAGTGATGTTGGTTTTTTTCTGACAAAATTGTGATCTAGTGATGTTGGTTTTCCGACAATCTCGTTTATATATTAAGATAATTGTGGAAAATGCAATAAAAATCTCAAAGGCTAACACTTATGTGTTCACACACAAAACATCTTCACAACCAAATGTATGTAAATATAGAGACTTTTTATATGTCACTATAATATGTCAAGTGTTTGGAAATTTTCAATTTTTATGCAGAGATGAAAGGGGTGTGGCACATGTACTAAAAACAATGGTTTTTTAAATGGTAGATTCCCTATTTCATTAAGATATCAAAAGTTTGCCTACAGTTGGTAACTTACCATGGTAGACATTTGAGAGGGACAGAGATGTGGGTGTTGATTTGGAGGGTGTGGTTTGGGTGGAAATCTCAGTTCTCATCTGAGGGGTAAAATGACCGTTGGTCTTCATCCTGGGACGATTACTGTATGGAGAGATATCACTGCTTTGCCTAATGTGATGGCCTGCTCCTGTGGGATCTAAAAACATTTTACAAAATTTTCATAGAAGACAAAATTTACCGTCTAAACAAGACAACTGAAATACAATATGTGAAGTATTTACCATGTATTTTCATGATGCACATATTAAAAATCAAAATACTGTAAACCAACTATTATTTGCGTCATCTTTTATTCGCGATTCGTCAGTTTGAAATCAATCAGCGACAATTAATTTTCCCGACTGAGGAATTATTCTATACAAATACAAAGCAAAATAAATGGTTTGTGGCCATTAATATTTACAAGTTAAAATAGATCACGAAACTTACGAATATTTCTTGAACGCGAATAAAAGTTGGTTTACAGTATTTTCTTTTTCCCTAAGAGGGTGCCTTAAACACCCAATTTTATGTTAATGCCCCCAAAATCTACCTTATTCAAGATCAATAGTATACCGCCTGTCAATCATTAAAAAAACAATAGCTTCTGATTTGACTGACGGGCCAGCTACGTGGGCTACCTGATAATCTGAATTTGCATGTTTTGAAAACAATTACCTGGTCATGCGTCAAACACTTTCATGTACCGCGTGAATGGTCGTTTTGTATACACTCTGGTTAAAAAAAATCATGTCACTCTTATATTGATTGGTAATTCTAATTTTAAAAAAATAATTGAGAGTATAGATAATTAAACAGTGACTTCGTGATTTTATTTTTTCAATCTCCACTGCTGTTTTATACTTGTTAGCCATATGATGTCCAAGATAACTGTAATACTTTTTGAAGAAAAATTAGCGGATATTCAAGCCCTCTCTTCCTTCAATATCTGAGATCCGGAGAGAGGAGAAGTTACTGCAGCAGCACAGAGCGATAATTCTTCCGAACCCCTTATTCAACCTGTGCCTTGATTTTAAGAATGTATGTAATGCCCTTGTCAACCTTGCACTTGGGTACACAGAAACTCAATTCGCCGTAATTGGAAACAATCGACCCCCCTCACCCACCATTTGAAAATTATAATAAAAAATTATACTAATATTGTAAAATATCTTGTATCTAAAGCTATTGATTTACGAAAGATTCTTTTCATATGCAAATCTGTAAACAGGGCATAAGAACACGGACCCTTGGAAATAGCGAATATTTGGACACCATTGTTCGCCAGAAAAGTAAATAATATTCCGATCGTGGTAAATGTCAACACAATAAGTGGAATCTTTTTATTTCGATATTCACACTTAATATTTTATGATAATTTCTTTTATTGGCGATTAAAATATTGATATGATTGCTTTGTAGTTTTCACTTTTTTCTTCTTCTTTTTTTTTTTTTAATTTTACGATTTTTAAAAAAGATATGTCTTTTTATTTATTTATTTTTTTTTTCTTCAAAAGATATCGACGAAAACGCTAAGTCTACAAATTTTATATTTCAGTACATAATTTATTTTAAATATTTTCACTCAAAATTATGCACAAAACGTGTAATGTTGACCCTGATTACCAAAAGTCAGACTTCCTGTGTAATGCAGCGTGTATATGGATTTTTGACATCTTGAGTATTGGAGGTCTCCAGGTAAATAACACCAGTACTACCAAGACCACTCCCCCCTCTCAGGTAACCGTACGGTAAAAAAATTGGGTCTTTAACTAACAATTTATTTGACAACTGGGAAAGCATTCAACATTTTTTTTGATGAACTGAAATACGTGTGATTAAACCTTTGCTTCGCAAATATTTTATTTCACCATACAAGGTGCAGATGTTTTATATCAAGGTAGAATCTATATGACATTTCAACTAAATTTATTACTAAAGCTTGAATATTTCTGTATACTTTTTCAAAAATTTTAAAGCTGTCTGAATATTTTAATATATCTGTTGGAGTTCAGAAACAGGTCAAGTCACCTAGAACCCCTTGATTTGCTAGTTTAGCTTATGTACTCACTGTTTTCACAGATTCGACAGGTATCGTAGGTGAACATGCAGCTGTAACATTTGGCGTGTCCACAGGTGTCAATCAGTCGACGCTTCTTCCCTTTGTCAAATGGCATGTGACACAGGGGACAGCAGTCCACGGCTTGTTGATCCATAGTCAGGTCACGCAAAATGTCAACGTCTGAAAATATAAAAACCACGAATATAGTGCTCTTTCTGAGTGTCCTCCATCATTCCACGACACACCTATTACTAGTGTCCTCTTTCCTTACAGTCAAAACTTCTAGATAATATTGTATCCTAAACTTTTAAGTATGCAAGACTGAACATGATGAAAAAGATCCACACACTCAAAAAAAAAAAAACAAAACAATTTTTTTCCGTATTCTTTTTCCACTGTATCACAAGTAACTGAATACAAAACAGACAAGAGGACTTTTCACCCTGAGAGCACACACTTGTCATTTGGCTCTTCAAATGTTCAAAGTCTCAATTTCAATTCTTATAATTGTTTAAGTTGTTCTTTCCTTTTCACGTACTAAAGAGAACCACTTGTTCCTAGCCTTGTGAAGAGAACAAGACACAACATAAACTTGATGTTGTTTTACAACAAATCAGAACTCTTAAATAAAGGTGGTAACAATATTGGCAAGAGTTTTTGAATAAAAACAGATGTTTGGAGTAATTAAACAAAGGATCTAATAATACAGTTAACTTTGGCATGGTTTTCTTTTTATGTTGTAATGATACAAATGTGTTCTTATTTATCAAAACAGACATGCAGTTAATTAGTGTATAGCAAATCTTGTTATCTTTTGACAGTTGTAAACAAAAAAACTTATTTCTGGTTGAAATTTCAATTTACATTTATCATTTCCTAACTATTTTTTTTTCACTTAGCATATGAAGAATTACAACATAGTTTGCTTTTCAGTCACAAAAACAACTACAAGGAATAAAAGACACACAGCACTCAAAAAGCCAATTTATCGTTCAATGATGTACAAGATTTCTGCCCACTCGTCAGCTAATCAGTCTGTGCAATATTTGCTGCACATTAATCCTACGCCCAATGCTTCAATACTTCTAAAACCACAAAGTGACACAGACCAGCCCTAATCTAACTGTATCAAGCTCTGGCATCACATCAAGGAATGAATTAGCCACTGACAGAAGAAGATAGAGAAAGGACGGTGTTTATCTAACAAAATTAATTAGCCGAGGATGCAGGCAGTCTTGTGTCACTGCATTAAGCTTTACCAGATTTTCCCCCCTTTCTTTTAAACAGATTAAATCAACTTTTTTTTCCAAGCTGACTTGAAATAAATTCAGCAACATTCATTATAAACTAATGGAATTAAGTACATGCATGTCAAAATAAAAGATTTTCAATAGGAAAAAAAAAACCCTAAAGAAATAATCTGATTTAGTGATTAACTGTAAATATTTCAATAAAACTTTGATTTCAGTGTTTAAACATTTTTCAAAAAGAAACGATGTGTTCAATTGCCGGTGGCCAGAAATCTCAGGTGATAGAGCATCTGACTGGAGATTCTGGGAGTCTGAGTTCGAATCCCAGTCTGGTCTGTCACATTTTTCTCCTCTCCTGTTACATTTGGTGCCATGCCATGCCCTGGAAGTGACAGGTGGAAGAACTGCCAGGGAAGAGCCTGGGTTGGTGTCTTCAGGGGTGAAGACCTTTAAGGAGGGAGAAATGTGGCAGTCAGACAGGTTCGACTGCCAGTGGCCAGATAGCTCAGTTTGTAGAGCACTTGACTAGAGATTCAGGGGGCCTGGGTTCGAATCCCAGTCTGGTCAATTGCATTCTTCTCTTCTCCTGTTACAAAATCAGAATAATTTTCCTTCAGTTCTTTGAGAAAAATATCAAAAAGCCAAATACTATATTGCTGCAATGAACTGCCTATACATGTACATTTGTTTAGTAAATCATGTACTGCTAGTAAAAAATTAGCAAGTACCTGCCATCATTGTCAAAAAACTATACTGATCGATACAAAGATAATAATTCAAACAACTTCCTACCCGTTTTAGCTCTGTTCAAAGGTCTCCGTACCCTTAAGTCCTATAGTTCTACCACTGTACATTTCGCTGTTTCAGCTGATCAGGACACAGTTAATCCTTTAGCCTTATCAGGACTAATATTTTGCCATTAGTAAGGTGTGGAATATTCATTGGTGCTCAGATTAACGGAAGTCTCTCTTTAATCTTAACTAATCGTAATAACAATGCAAGGCCAACCCTCTTCTTTTGTTTTTATTTTCAGTATTATCTTAATAAGATTTTCAGAAGAGATTAAACACAATGAACTAATACAAAAACTCCCCCAAAAAACCAAGTAGTGTGACTGACTTCTGTACAGCCATTCACAAAGAATATTTAAAGTTTATATAATGAATTTAGTCCTAGGAGTGTACTTTATGAGGAACTAGCCATGGGGAACTAATGGAGCTGGTGTCATTTATTGGTGTTTTAAATGATAGATGAAGGATGACAAAGGAAATTTGTGACAGAAACCCTCAGTTTGTATAGGATCAATACCCTCGCAGGTTTAGACCTGCCCCAAGGTCATACATGTCTGCGATTCTTATCACAATAAACATTCCTATGTCCTAATTAAAGATCTTATGAAATTAATATTAAGAAGCTTTGTCATGATTTTTCCTGAACATTTAACTAAAATTTCATTGATGTAAAAATTACACTTGCATGCCAAGTGTGTATTACACATCATGTCAACATACCTTGAACAGGTGAAAAGGTTAGAGTCAAAAAATATCAAATCACATATTCACATACAAATGAATGCGCATAAAAAGTTTATATTCACTGATTATTCCATGGTGTAAATAGTAAATAAACAGACAACTGAGTTGAGAAAACCCTCTACGACACAGTTGGTCTTTTCCAAAGATTGTAAACCTTTGGCTGGCCTCTCGACAAAACTCAATCATGAATGAACGAAGCATACATTTTTGTCAATGGGTATGATTATGTGCCATAAATTCCAGCCCACAACAAAACCATCGTCATTTTCTTTCCACAACTGCATGTAAGTTGTTCCACTACATCAAACAGATTTCAAGGTGATTGTCTTACTCTGAGTATGATGGGGTCATTCCACAGAAACACTGACTGATTATGTTAGTTTTACCTGTAAACATGTTCAATATATCCGGCTTACATTTAATATATCTGTCATTAATGCCACACAAGGATTTCTAAGAGGGCAACACGCACACAAAAGAAATCACTCCACCAAAATTTCTATGTAAAAAAAAAATTTTGTTCAAAAAATTTTCACTTCACATTATCCAGATCCCTGCAAGTCCAAGATAAGAATTTATAATTTACATAAAAATTAACATACGAACTAAGAACCTCATTTACTAGTCAGAAATATAAATATTTGCTGTATTACTTCCCGACCCTTACCTTTTTACCTCTCTTTAATTATTCAGTCCTAACAACCAAGCTACACATTAACACTTTTGTACATACTAATCCAGACCCTGGCAGAACACTCTATATGAATCATGAAAATGCATTACAGCTTCCATCAGCAATTAAAAATCCCCGATACGATAAAAACAGCACAGTCAAAATATAGACTACACATAACTCCAGCGACAGACCACTTATCATGAGAATTTTACGTTTTATCTGCTCGTACCTGGAGAGAATTCTATACTTATCCATGGCTTTCAGTTAGAAATTTACATTGTGGGAACTTTAATTTAGGCCTCCAAATCTTAAATCAACAAGGTCTAAATATTACAAATATTGTTGTTCAAGAATAAATTACTGGGCACATATACAGTATCACATGCAGGTATATATGATCATGCTGGTACAGTTCCCTTCTTAAGTTGCATCCCACCAATAGAATACCTACAAAATGTGTATTATCTACACAGTCCTTAAAATGATAATAAATCCACTTTCAAAGAATCTTTGATCTGAAAGCTGTCATTAAATAAATGTTCAGGTTTTGATAATGAGTACCATACCTGTAGCTAGCCCCTAACTTGATTTCTGGCCTAGATTAAATAAATTTTAAATAGGAGTGCAAGACCAGAGCACAGCAAAGTTTACGAATGGCATCTACTTGGTATTTACATTTTGGCATTGTCAAACAATGTTACTTTTTACAAAGCTAATAACTAGCTCCCACTATAAAACTTCAATGATTTCTTATGTCATTCTTATGTCAGACTAAAAAATTAATTACTATGCACAGGTAATATATTGATAACTTTATCTCCACTGTGCCTTTCAAGTTTATTCAGGTGGAAGTCACCCCTTCTGTACATAATCAGAATAGGCCAAAGTTTTATAGACATCTGCTTGCATCATTCACAAAAAGTCCACGTCATTGAGAGACCAAAGGTAATTCAAGGACCACAACTCATAAATGAAAACATCTAAGAGTTTTTTCCCTTTGCTCATAATGCAATTGGTATCTACCATTACAATGGTCCGTTTTTGTAAATTTATGAAAAAAACAATACCTGGTGGTGTAGAAACCACAGAGATAAATCTATCACACTGAATGAGTGAGTGTGCCTATTCTAAATAAAAATTCCAAAAAAAACATTGATAGTGATCATGCAGTGCTGGTCATGATTGAAACATTAGAAACAAATTTCACACAAAGTTGAAATATACTCAAAAGGATTCATTGCTATTTCACTTACAGACATTCACACATGATGATTTATTGATTCCTAATCTGAATACATAAACATACATTGTACATATACCATAGAGTACAAAATTATTTTAAAATAATTCCTGTGTTTTAATAAACAAGTATGCACCACCTGCCAAGAAAACATGCCTACCTACAGGTCACTTAGAAAACTAGTAATTCTGACAGTAACTAAGCATCACTGACATGAAGATCACATCTACTTGATATATTTACCTACTTCATACAAATTTAAAGTCCTGTGTTCATCTTTAAGTTTTTTATCTGTTCATCTGTGCCCCTTATCTGGACACGACCACCTGTGACAGTATAATCAGCTGACTACTGTCACCTGTTCTTCTGTCAAATCTCAGTTTTCTAACAATCACAAGGCATGCAATACATACGTACTGAGAAAAAATAACTGAAGAAAATTTGACAGGAACTGAAATTTTCTATCTTTGTATGAATGTCCACTAGAATGCTGACAGATTTGGTTACAGCTTGATTATCTACTCATCACCCATATAGGGAGAAACCATTATAACCTTATACATATAAAACTTGCTTAATGTGACCTAGAATAGATGAATTTTAAATCAACTGCCCTGTATGAAACTGCATTAATGAGAGAGAATACAATGTAGGCAAAAAACAGGATCCTCAATTTAATGCATTATACATGTATTTACAACTGAATTCAGACAATTAATATATCTCAGTAATTTTAAACTACCAACTTCATCAACACTGCATTATAATGCAGTGCCATTGAGCATTTGTTTCTGATCAGTTTACAGGTGTTCGCTTGTCAGACTTTGTTTTTGTTCACTGTTCATAAGAATTCAATATGAAGTCTGATAAAATCATATTTATCAATTTTCAAGTCATTCTACCTGCCAAAATAAAAGCAAAGAGCTGTTCTGCCTCAGCTAAATCTAAACAAGAGCAATTTAATCTGTTCTTTTTTTTAAATTCATTATCACATACATTTAACTTCTTGTGCTAAAGAATGTGGGAATTTGCAGAATATTATTTAATCTTCTTAAATGCAACTACTTAAAAAGCCGCTAAATAATCTCTTCACTGTATGATATTACAAACATATACATTTAACTATTAAAGACACACAGTCTTATGACTTGCAAATGATGCATTAACTATACAGAAAACATACAATTTGTAAACCCTGTATATCAATCAGATTAAATTTTTGATTCTAATATTACATTGCAGAGTGACATTGAAAGTTTTAAATCAAAAACTTGACGTAAAAGTAGTAATGACTACTATTTTCGGAGTCGTAACTTAAGGACAACCAGATGTCTCTAGATAGACTATAGCTCTTCCTGATTGAATTATAAGAAAATCCAGGATACAGGTGCAATGGACATAAATTACAGTTGAACTTCATTATATCTAACATCAATATCTCAAATATCATGCATATATCAAAATGATCTGGAAGTCTGAAATACATTTCATTAATAGACTTAAATGTAGTTATCTCAAACCCTTGAATATCTTGAATTATTGAGCTCGAGATAATGAGGTTTGACTGTATTATTTTTCCCTAAAATTACACCATTCCCACTAAATTAGACAAAATGGCAGCATGTTTGAAGCTTGAATTTTAATCATCTGATCTGTCGGTATTTAATAACTAAAGCATTGATCTTCTCATCAATGTGCATGATTTGTGAATGGAAGGAAATGATTTTTTGGAAGTCTTTGATCTAATCACGTTAAAGTAAATCAGCACAATGCCAAGAATGTCTGTCAACATAGCTTCAGGATCACAGCTCATGAATTTCAGACATTTAGGGAGGTGGGAACACGTTTCTGAGTTTTTTGTTCCGTTAGTTATCAAAAAATGCAGCACAACAAAAAGCAGACCCAGCAAGCGCTTGGTGTGGTGACAGCTCTCAGATTGTTCTATCACGACTTGGCTACTGAATTCTGTACACCATAATCATCTATCAATGTCTATTATGGGAAGTTTTCATTTAAAATGTTAGCAGTTTTGCACTTCCATTTGCTTATATAAACATGTAATAATTTGTCAGTGACCAGTTAGGTTGAATTTATAAATATAATCTAACATTTATTACTTTTTAAACATTATTTTACCTAGAACAGGTTACTTTAACAGAGAATTGACTAACCATTATCTTTTATATTATAAACATAGTATTAAAGCAAAGGTAACTGTCCCTTAGATCAAATTACCTTTTGTGCAAATTCTGTTAGAATGCACATGTACATACATAAGAGTATTGTGATTTGCAGTGTATTAATTAATAAGCTGGAATATATCTTTGCTTCTGTGCACACTGAGCACTACTGGTGTAGATTGCAAGTTATTAACCTTAAGTAAATAAACAATTATACTAAACGATTGCCATGTGTCTCTGGTAGATATATAACTACCAGCTCGGCTATCTAGAACAGGTTCTCATTTCTCCGAGTTAAAATCATGAAGACTGAGAGAGAGAAGGGCCCAAAATTTTCCAAATCCATTTCCAAAACAAACATTACTGTTTGCATCAGTCTCAACTTTGATTAATGGCTACCAATTTTACCCTCACTTTCTTTCATAAAACAGTGATAAGCTCATCAAGTTCTCCAATGAAATCCCAAAAATTATATCTGGTATACCACAAAAAGATTTCATTAAAGAAATAAAAGCTAATGGTGTTGAAAATAAGCATACAAAAAATGTACAAACACTTTTTTTATTACTGAAGACAAGTTTTGATTTCAAGGACTTACCACAATAGCCATCATGCTTTGTTTCAAAGTATCTATATTGGTTAGGTATAACTGGGTCTAATCCCATGTCAGACAATGAGGTAACACTATAACTCCACAATCGATTCACAGGGGGCACCTGCATATGACTGGTCATAGTACTGGGGGATCTTAGACGATCCCTAGCCACACTCCAACTACTACTCCGACTACGAAATCCTTGATCCTCCATATCCAATGGAGATATGTGCACATTTGTATAATCAGGTCTTGAATTTAAAGATACACTGTGACTGCGTTCCCTTAAACCAGTGTCCTCTGAAATATCCACATTTTTCCTAGATTTCATTGTTAAGCTTTCATAAGATCCCCATAATTCCCTATTAGAGGGCATACCTGAACTAAGAATTTTATATTCATCAATATTTGGCAGTGCTCGTTTACTTGGAGTGACTTTAGGTGGTGTCACATGAATAGAATTTTTTTCGTGTATTTTAGATGCAACATTTTCCACAGTCCTTGAATCAGTGCAATCTTTTCTCAACTCACTGCTGTTAATCAAGAGTTCTGAAAGTTCATTAATTGCATATGATCTGTTGCTAGGTGATGCAGGACGATTACATGGATACAAAGCACTGTTACTAACTGATGAATGAGGTGATGACCTGTCGCTAGGTGACACAAAATGGTTGCCTGGAGACAAAGCAATGTTGCTATGTGATAGTGATGAGTGTGTTAAGCTACTTTTAGGTGAAGGAGATCTGTGTAATGAAGAAGCAGATTTGTTTGACCGTCTGTCAGCTAGAATAGGTATAGACTTACGATCTGGACCAGTATGGCCAAGTTCTTCTCCATCCGTTTTCAAAGCTCGATAGACCAACATTCGTCGGGCCTGCACTACCTCCTCTGGTGACCTCTGAGTGTTTTTCTGCACCTTTGAGTCTGATGACGACATGACAGGCTGTGATACCCTGTGTTGTGGTTGAGAGGGACTTTCATTTCTCGTTAAAGCACAGTGCTTGCTGTTAAAATCACTAGTCCTTACTCTGAGATCAAAATCACCACTATATCTGTTCATATGTAGGTGCTTTGGTCTGTTCTGTCTTAGAATTATCTTCCCATACACAGGACCATTAATTTCTTCCTCATCCTCCAAACCAACATTGCCCAAGCTATGGAGAGACTGTGATTTACAGGAGAGTAGACCTAGACTAGACTGAGACATGGACAAATCTCGGTTCTGGACAGCCAGTCCTCGTCGCTTTGAGATGTCTGCTAATTTATCAGCATACAAGTCCCTTGAGATCTGTCTCATCTGTTTTGGACCGAGTCTTGGAGATTCACTGTCTTTGCGAGTCAGAGATCTGCGTATTGTGTCTCGACCCAAGGTATCCTTTTGTTTACTCTCATTTGGCAAGCTGGGGTCTAGAAGTGGAGGGAAATGTCTGGAGCGAGTTGGACAGGAAGTGGACAATAACTTAGAGGAGTCATTTTCTTCTTCTCGAGATCTATCGCCTGACTTGATAGAGATGCTTTTGGTAGGACTAGAACGCTGGTTGCCTCCTGCAGTGTGTCCATTTGGAGTGGAAACTCCTCCATTATGAGGAGAAAACTTAAAACTTCCCCTTTTGGGCCTGGTGTCAGTGAACGAAGAACTCCGTTCTCGAGGAGGACTTTTGCTACGTTTACGAAATTTTGAGGTTATTCCAGTGAAAGACCTACTTCTTCCTCTCACTTCTCCTCCATCAAAGTCCTTTCTAGGTGACGTCGCTTTATTCCCCATTCTTCATATCTGAAAAAAAAAATATAAAGTGTCAATACAGGGAAAAAAAATAATATGACCTTGTTGGAATTACAGGAGGAGTCAACACGTTCAAAAGGATAATGAAGTGGTTACACTACATTTAACCCTCTTAAAGGGGAAAACACAGCAAATAGATTTTACAAATAAATATTTAAAAATAAAAATAAATAGCCACACTTAAAGGTTCTTAAGTCAGCTAAATCCTTGGAAAAATATACTACTTTTCTCACTATTAAACTGTGTTTTTTGATATCATTTGGGTCATGCTTAATTTCAAACTTTCCAGTCCATAAATTTCAGAACTTATGAAAGTCTTGCAATTCTCATTGGGCTTTTTAAAACTGACATCTTTATATAACTTCTGCACATGATCAACTTGAAATACCAATTTCATAAGCTTTTCCAAGACCCTGTTCACAATTGAATGCTGAATTTCTGATCATGGACATTATTTAGTGCTAAAATCCATGATCCAATCATGATATAACAGACAAAATAGAGACATTCTTCCTTGGGACTGGGTTTCCAAAACAAAGATATTAATGGTAAGAATGAACCTATTGATATGGCCAATGATATACCTACATTCACACATACCTGTATTACTCATGTAGAAATATCCAAACACCCAAAAAGAAAACCAAACACCTTAAGGAAATACAAATGTGAGCCATTCTATAGAACAAGGAGACAGCTAGTCCACAGTCAGATTCCATCAAATTAAGTCAAAATTATATCTGCGATAACATCTACACTGAAACACTCCTTAAGTGCAACATCCTTTCTTTACCATCATCAATTCTATCATTTTCTTCTTGAATCCAATATCACTAATACATATGATATAAATCCAATTGTGAAGGGCCTCTCTCAGCACTTCCCAGCCTAATGATTCACAAATGCTGATTATAAATATTTAATAAATTTATCTCAAGGCCAGGCCTTGCACCCTGGTGATCTCTCTGGAGATTTACTGCCTACTGGTCATCTCCTAACAGACAAAGGTGAGTCTTGTCTAAATTGCTACTTGACCCCTGGGTTTTCCTGTGTGTACTAACCAAACAGTATAGCACACTATGATCACTGCATGACCAGAATGCCCTCATAAGCCCTTACTAAACCAAGGCATGTAACTCTGCATTCACTAAGATTAACTCTGCATTTACAAAGATTAACTAATATATCCAAGAGTAAATAAAATACAAACCTACCATCTGCTACAATTGAATCTGTGAAACATTTCAAAAGTAATCTCGTTTGTATTTATAATGTTAACATACAAGACTGCACCACAAGAAGCTATTTTCTTTGAACCACAGAAGTGTACAAATTGCAATTGCAAAATTAAACAATTTAGAACTTTGAAGCAGAAAACCAAATCACATATGTTTGTTACCTTGTTGACAAGTCATACAGGTAATTCTAGTTTACCAGCATGTCACAGCTACCTGAGGGTGTATAAGTTTGTTTCCTGATGAAGAACTTTGATGTTTGATTTCTGAATTACAGATCTAATCTACTGATGCAACATCTGATAAACACATGGGACATGTGATCTCAAAAATCAATATTATTTCTAGTTGAGAATGTCAACCAAAAAATATGCAATTTCAGATAAATAGATTTAATATTTCCTGTATTCCCAAATTGCTCCATGGTTAAATATTGTTTGTATTATAGTTTACAAAACATGTACATGAAACTATTACAAATTACACTAGGAAATCAGTTCTCACACAAGTTTATCACATATGGCTCCACCCTTTTAAACCATACAACGATTACACCCTGTTCTTTCATATTTCTAGTGATGAAATGCTGTGTAATATTTGTATATAAGATTTTTTAGATTATTCACACTACTATAAATCTGGACTGTAAACAGAATTAGGGCATTACTTAAGACCGAGTCTCTAAACAGAAGAGACACTTACCCTACCCACTCCCTCTTTAGATAAAGAACAATTCAACCCACATCACTATAACCTGATTATAATGATTTTTTCGATATAAATTTCTATACATTGAAATTCCATAGAAATTTTCATTTTACTGTTGAAAAGTATTTATATTCTCCATGGTACACCTCTATTCATGTTAAGGTTTCCTCACACCTCAAATTAATCTTAGAAATAAAACTTATTGTGTAGATATTGAACATTCTTTTCATCTGTAGACCTACAGGCGATGTGAAGAATATGAATTAGATTTTTCTGCAATATGCCTCATAAAACAGTCATATAATCTGCCAATATTTATTTTCTCAACTGATAATCTCCGAATCAAAGGATCTTCAAAGACACCAGTCACTAGGGCCAAGAAAATCTCATGAAATTAATATAACCTGAAAATTGTACATCATATTCCTTACGGATACAAAAATGGATGAAACACTCCCAGTCTTCTTGTCTTATCTGTTTATCTTTTCATCCACCAGCATGTTCAAATTTCAGATATAAAACAAAATTATATAGCTAAAAAACTTAGATCTTTTTTGAACCACTTAACCCTTGCTAAGAAAATCAATGATGTACAATTTCTTCTCTTGGATTCAATTAAACAGAAATGAAGAGAACATTTCCTGCACTGCAGACAAGTTTATCTGTCATCATTGAAAGCTTGACCCCCCAGCTGTAATACTGCCTGCATAATCTCAGAACATATGGGATATATTCCATCTAACTTCAGTCTTTGGTATTTTCATGGGAAAATTCTTAAACTCAAATGGTACGAACCAAATCACTCTATAAATGCATTAGAAGTCAGTATTAAGGACATACGCAACGTACTTTACCTACTGATAATTTTTCAAGATATTCTTAATTTAAGATTAAAGTGCCATCAGATGTTCATAAATAAAAAAGCAGCTTGCATTACCAGGGGTTTTGAAAAGATATCAGCTGATGAAAATTCTTGTAAAATTCAAAGAAAAATATACAAAAATTACTATACATATATTCTAGTTGTTTTGTTTATCCAAATTTGTTTTAAAAGAAGTGTACAACAGCATATATAGACATTAAAATGTAGCACACAGTTCCTTTAAGAATTGGAACTCTTCAACTCCAGGGAAAAAGACAATAAAGTTCAAACTACGTTGCGTATGTCCTTAAAGTAACCTTTATATAAGCAGCAAGACTATGGCTGTAAGAAGATTCAAATTGCAAATTCTTAGTCAAAGAACAACACCATGATCCTCTCCTGTAATAAAAAATGTGTTGTTTTTTTTCAACAAATAAGTGACTTCTTACCATGACTCTTGTCCAATAACACCTGTGTAATTTGTTTCTGGACAGAAGAACAAGATCTTCTGGCACTGTCTCTCAGATAAGTGTACAGTACATCAACCACCCACAGTGGTTATCATTAGACTACTGGTGTTAACTGATTAATTACCACACACTGTTTAAATCTAACAGCTCATTATCTCAGCTAGACAACTACTGGACAATCAGAATCCAGCTTACCAATAGAACACCAAAGTCACACTGCTGACTGTCAATAAATGGGGGGAATCATTACCTCCAACTAATCTCTACTCACCCTCAGATGATAAACAGAACCAAGTCTCCCTTAAATCAGTTGTTCTGGTGATAAAGCACACTGGGAGTTCACCCCAGTTTACTGGGATTGATACAGTTTGACCCATATATATAACTATCACAAATGCAGATCCATGCAATATTCAAGTCTGTACTCACTGTCACTTTGGTTATTTTTGTTCTGTCACAAATTCAGTGTATAATTGTAGTTAACCTTCAGGATGGTCTGTGAAACACCTGAGGATGGTCTGTTAAATAGTCTAAGGATACTGACAAATGAACATATAGTAATCAGTACATGTAGTCCTATATTAGTTGTCAAAGTCCACAAAATCAAAAATACTAGGTTTGTTGAAATCTCCTACTTCTTCTTATCCAGTACTTGGCTATTGGTACCTGTGGTTGAACAATATAAATGCCAACTGAAAGATTCTAGAGAAAGACCTTCAACATTAAAAAATTCACATGTTTAAGTCTAGACAACCACAGAGCCATGGCACCTTGTGGCATGAGGATTTCTGAAACAGTTCTTGTTATATGCTGTCATTCTCCATCAACTTGTGCATACAATGTCTCGTTTTGCACAGCAAACACTGACCTAAATCAAACTTTATCAGAAATTACATGAGCATCCCATAAAATCTTATCAAACACTCCTTTATAATCCAAGCAGCTGTGACTGCATGCAGTCAAACACCATTCTACATTAAATGTTCCAAGTGTCAACAATGCGTATTTATCTTTAGGTATAAAAACCTAATTAATTTTTTAAGTACAATGCCATTTTAATTAAGTTTGTTTTCAAGAGTACAGTAAAGGAAGTGAACCAACTAATTCAATCTGTTTTTTCCTTATCATTAATCTCATCTTGGTTCCTTTTTTCTGGCAGATTTCACCCTAAAAGTTCTAACAATCCCTCCAAGTGTCAAAAATAGAACGACCCTTACTCCTATCAGAGACACAATAAATCAAGGGTCCAAATCAGGCCAATAACATCTAAGAAGTGGATTTGAAAATAAAACTAACAAAAATTCTGACTGATACTGTGATGTTTCAAACCAAGACGTTCTCTTTGAATGAAGCCTGATATTTTTAAAGCATGCAAGATTGTGGAAGTGATACTGTAATAGTTCCAAGGCAGCCAGCATGAGGTTTTTTTAGGAGTGTGTTTATGTGTCCAAGATTTACCAAAAGGCTTGGGAAAATGCCCATCCTTTACATTGACTGGTTCAGAGGCTGACATTCTTTTAATAAAGGTAAAAAAATTTCAATGAGAAACATTTAGTGATACATACATACACCTCATTCCCTACACCCACAAGAAAATATTGCACTGACATTTTATAATTGCAGTAACATTGCTTTTATCATTGACTGAACAAATAAAACACTCACTGAACTGAACTTACCCTGAAAGTTAGCCTGAAGTCAATACCAGTGAAAAAAAGAAGGTTGTACAAAATCTGCACCTTATCATGTTAGGTCAACTTTACATTGCATCGTCCTGATAAAGGCTTCGGTGAAATGAACCCAGTTGTTTAAAAAGCCTTGACAAAGTATTAGCTGCATTAGGTATTGACACTGTAGAACCGATTACTAATGTAAATATTCTGACACCTTTGCAGTATGTGGAATGCTATTTATGCACAATCGATTTAATAACAATACCACATGCTAAAGCATTAAACAAGTACTGTGGATGAGAAAAATCACCAAGAGATTAAATTTGTGTTTATTATGAGAAATTCTTACACACACACACACATTACCCATGGTTGGCTTTGGGAGGCAAGAACTTTTACACCCAATGTGTCTAAATAACACCAATGTGCTAAAAGGTCAACTCACCTCACATTTAATAATCACAACGACACAGAACTATATTAAAACTTTCAGCCAGGATGTTTTCACAAATACAAATAAAAACACTTCACTTGGATCAGTTTTCCTCATTTTCAATAAACTCTACACATAAAAGTTTTCTTCCAAGAGAAAAACTATTATCCTTTAGCAGAGAAACACCAGAGACAAACGACACGATTAAAATCTCCCAAGCACTCTTCAGTTTTCAATATCACACAAAGACCCCCGTTGCACTGTTTACCTGTACAGATCACATGGTATGAAACCTACGCCAGCCAGCAAAAATATTTTTATGGATGCTGATTTGATCAATACTTTTTGCGATACTTAAACAAAATGGGTTATGAATTGCAAAACAAATAATTATATATGCCAAAATGGAGTACCCTTGTGCTTTTTTCCCTGACCTGCTTACAATATTCATGTGTTTATAGGTATAATGAAGATACACAAATGGACCATGTAAGCCATTTAAACTAATCTGGACAGACAAGATAAATATATACATGTTATCAATGAAAATATCATCATACTGATACATATTTACAAACACAGATTAAATCTCTTTGACATCTATGCAGAATAAGCCAACTTAAAGCATGGATAAATAAAACCAATACTTTGAAAATTTGCAGGACTCAACCATATCAGAATCGATACACCTCACCATGTTTATGTGGCAAACAAATTAAAACTTTTAATGAACATGAAACAGTTCTAAAATCTCAATAAACTAAAGCTATATTGTTGCAGAGGAAAAGTAGCCTAGCTATTTTATGTAGCTTTATCCATGGATACATAATATTGCTTTAGAAAACAATTTCTGAAATTGAAAAAGCAGCTCTATTTCAAATGGAAAGGAAAACCTTGGAGAATTTTTCACATTGAATCTATAAGCTATGTATATCCCAACTAGTATTGATCTTTAACTACTACAAATATCCGTCACAAGTAAATCATTTTTATTTCTTCTCTGCTCAATAAAGCAAGCAGATATGAAGAAAACACCAGTGTTGTTTATTACAAAGGGACATTTTTCTCCAAACCAAAAAAAAAAAAAAATATCCACAATATAAAATTCATAACATCAATACAACACTGTCTTCACTTTTTGTACAAGCACCAGCAAGATTGATTTTAAAAATCATTTTATTGAAGATATGATTTTAATTCAAGAATATGAAAATTGATTTATTTTTCAACAGCAAAAGATAATTTCTTTTTTTTTTTTTACACAAAATAAAAAAAATCATACACAGTCATACAAACTCCAAACCACATTTAGCCTGAATAATAACTCTGATACAGTATGTATAGAATAAATAATAACTTAACTTATATTGAATTAAATAAATTTAGGAGCTGAGATCATGCTCTTTTTCTAACAGTGTTTCCATTAGAAGCAAACTAAAGCAGGAAGCAAATTAATAAAATTAAGGTAACGAGACATTTCCGTCATCAATCATATCATAGTAATCATGACAGGCCTGATCGTAGACTGAGAAACATTAACCGCACTAAACACCGATTTTGCTGAGGCAATTCAGGTAAAGACAAGGTGATTCAGTAATTAGCCATTTATAAGCATATCTCTGTAATTTAAATGATTAGCAGTCAAAAGAAATATCAACAGAAGAGATGATGTGTGATTATGTACAGGATGATGGGTTGCTTTTTATTGTTATACACATAACGACCCAGCTGTTTGTGGAGTGTTTGGTACCTAGATACAACAACACATGGTGTCCTTAAGGTGAAGCGCCTGTCACACGTGTTGCTTCCACTGAAGCGTAAGAGGGCAGCTTTTCTTTATGATGGATAGATGTTACCTTTATGGGAGTGTCACCTGAGTTCACTATAATCTAGCAGCACAGTATCTGCTCTGCTTCAATCCAGAAGGTTTCAATAAAGAGTGCCTTAAAAAAAATCCAAGGGTCTTGGTCATGCACTGACCCAAACAATACACCAGACCACAAAAAAAGTTTCTGTCATGCCAAAACATGCAATTTCCCCATCCCTATCATAAACCTGACAACTGTTTCCTTCCCTCATGGCCCTGCATAATTACTTGAGAAGACGCTTTTTGAAAAAAAAAAAAAAAAACTGCACATACCCTGAAGGCTTAAATGATGCACATCCCTATTTTATCTTCTGTCTATCCAAGAGGTAAATCCATTTGTGCAGAAAAGATTGAAGAGCACAGACTGTTCCTGACTAATTACTATTTCCCTTTTAACAGCTTCACGTCAATTTTCAATTTTTAGAAAAAAAATTAAAAGTCCTTACACACTCCTTCAAAGCAATAGCATTGACAATTTTATGGATAACAAGCCATCAATAAAAAATCAAACTCTAGCGGGTCTTTGTCCAAACTTCCGCTCAGAAGATTGTTATCTGGTAGATTTAAGTTGACTCAGACAGGTAAAACTCCATGATCTCTTCAGACTCACATACAAAGGCAGGCTTTATCAACATTTATAAACATAACTGCATAAAACTAATGAATTTATTGTCTATTTTTGGATGAATATCTATATCTTTTTACCACACACTTCAAAAGATAAAAGAGATTACTGGAGATGGTTGTATCAGAACAAAAGTCTAGTACATGTAAACCAATTCACATAGTGACAGCATGTAAAGATCCATGGCTAAATCTTTTTACACTACCTTATTTATTTATCGTTCTAACAGGAGTGAATTATTAATGAAAAACCACTAATCTACCTGGGTATAGTCACTTGATATGATTATGAAATCAGATAATCTCTTCCTCAATATTAACAAGACTGTGGTTAGGAATGATTCACTAGTGTGTTTATTTAAAAAAGAGCATACTTTTCTGCCTCATTCCATTGAAGTTCCAAGAAGAAAGATATTATAATCAGGGAAGGAAGTATTAATTGTACAATTAATATGTCTATACACTCATTAAAAAGAAGAAATGATGGATATTTCTGACACTAATGGTTTACAAAGTGGAGTGATTTTTGTTTCTATAAATCCATAAATCACCTCTATAGAGGCACCAGGGGACATCACTCTGGAGATCATAGGACATCCTGTTGAATCACCTCGCTAATTACTATCATTAATAAGACAAACTGCTTTCACACAATCTCTACATCCTAAACATGTATTGAGATGTCTCTGAAGTCTTGTAAAAATTTGCTACATCAGGGCAATAAAATCAATAAGTTTGAAGAAAATGTGAAATTTGACTACTTAGTATCAAAAATATGGTTCATATAGTTGCAGAAATAATTTAAACATTGATGGGAGAGAAAATCTAAGTATAATCAAACTGCGTTATCTCAAACTCAATGGGACCGAGAAAAAACATATCCGGCGGTTTGAGATATCGAGACAGGGTAAAATATTGCTTAAGAAATACATGGTAAGGACTTCCCAATCACTTCAACATTCGAGATACTGAAGTTCAAATGCACAATTTCACAAATAGTTACAAAATATTTGTTCAAATTCTTGATATACTGTTATCTTTCCATCATTTACCAATTTTTAGGAAAAAATAAATTCATTTGCAAGATTTTTTTTTCCTTTAGCAATTCCCTGGATCTATATTTGTCTCATATTTGTTCCCATTTAATTCATGGAGTTAATATATGTTCAAGATTTTTTGATTTGTTAGGAATCTTTTCTTCCAGCTATTATGTCAGTCTCCTTCAGATGGAATCCTGTGCCTTCCAAGGTGGTCATTACTTCATAATAAATCAACTTACACACAAATAACAGGATAATGCTCAATGTTCACAGTTTATTCAATATTTAAACATAGGTGTTGGACCACAGTCGTTAAAGTTCCACTAGAAAAGAAAAACTTCCCTACCCTTATTGACAAAGCTTTCATCTTGGCCAGGTTTTAGTTGATGTGCTTTGATTACGAATGTGCCCAGGTCTATTGAAAATGAAGTTGTTATTGTAAAACTGTGTACATCCAATTTGTTATCCTGTCATAAGCAATCAATAAATGTTAAATAAACTTCTTTTTAATATCTGATATCCTTTTGAACTTAGTCCTAAAAAAAAAAATCAGGAAGATTTCAGTTGCTTCCCCTTTCATAATTACAGAACTCTCAATTCAATACTTTCTGGACTAAATTAATATAGAAACTTTACCTTTTGTAAACTGTTGTCAGTAATTAAGTATGAAGGATCAAACCAGTCAAATCAATTCTAAAATTAATGATTGATTATCATATACTTTACCTGTAGGTAATTATTACACTTTGTTCTTTAAATCATATACAAATTGTGTACTTGAAAATTTGCTCTGAAAAACAATATTTTTCACATTTCATATGTTGTTTGACTTAATTAGCCCTGCAGTTTCAAATTCCTGAGGATCCGAGTAAAAGGACATAAATAAAACGAAGACAAAATTTCCTACTAAATATGCTGCATAGCACAATTATCAACAAACCACACTGAAAGTCACTTTTAAAAATATACTGCCAGAAATTCAATCAATGATGAATAACACTGTCAAAGTTATAATGATTAGTATATATCTTGATGCCCCTTTTCAGTGGATTTATAGACAGGTAACATCTTCTTTCTACTGTTACATAACAATTTTCCAAACTGTAGCTCTGTAATTTTTGTTAGAGACACTTCTCAAAAGCATTCATTTTATGTCATTATGTT